CTCTTGCCGTCCTGATGTGCCTCCCTGTGATTCTTCTTTTTTCAGCTTCTCCAGCAGACACCCACACACATAAGTAGTTGCAAAATGCTCCGCAGGAATGTTCTTGGTAACGAGGGACGTTGGCTGACGTTCCGTGCTGAAATGATGACGCGGCTGCACGATGGCCTTCTCCGGCGATGACAGTCGCTGTGTTCTCGGCACACACATCCACACACTCTTCCTTGTCTCTCTGTGGGGGTGAGTGCGGCAGGAGCGTGTTCTACGGCAGCGGCAGCTGGTGTCTTGGAGAGGGACGAGGCGCCGAGGAACAAGAGGGCGAACCTGCTGGACGCGATTACGATGGCGGATGAAAGCTGTTTCGTTGCCTTTGCTTCGTACATTGCTAAGATTGCGCCGTGTCGCTGCCTGACGGGATGCCTGCACTTGGCACCCCTCGAGTCATTGCGTTGTTTCATTCAGTGTGACGTCACAATCATCATGGCAGCATCTTCCCTCAACGGCTCTGAGTGTGACAATACGAATGACGGCAAAGAGAGCGATGAGGATTATGGTGACGAATTGCACCGAGGGGCGGATTAATTGCGTGTCTTTGCACACGAATCCCAGGAGGGTTTGAATGCCGTCCCCACAATTCCCGGCATTGCGGAACCGTTGGCTTTCGCGTTGTCACCCACCGCAATTAGTGCCCCATGCGTTGAGGCTGATCCATTTACCGTGGAGTTCACGCAGCAGTTCTCGAGTGTTTGTGCTTCTGGTCCTGCGTTGGCTCTTTCGCATGTATCTCAGCGTTGCCTGGCGTATGATTTGATGTCTGTGTTGTCCAGGCCGCCGCCTCCAGTTTTCTTTTTGTGCCCAATAAGAAACACTTTCCGTTGCGGTGGATATTTATTTGCGTGGCTGTCGATGCACGTGACGATGCTCAACGGGTGTGTCTTTTGTTTGGCGGGCACGAGGGAGACTTCGGTGTGTGCCGACACCTCCGCGAAAGTCTTCTTTGACGGGTCGAGGCGAAAATAAGGGAGGTCTGTCCGCTGCATCTCTCAATGCAGCTGCGGGGCACTCCGGACGCACAGAGTGGATGGATGGATGCCGCGCAGCTGGGGAGACCAGTTTTCTTCTCTGCCCTCCGTTGCCGGGGGAATCGAGAATCCACAGCGTCACTGCCACCTGCATTTTACTTCTGGGGATCGACTGTTCTGAAGTTGCCCGTCTAATGTGAATTCCAGCGTCAGTGCAGGAAGACGCTTTCACGCATTGCGAGTAGTTGCTCCAGGCTCGAGCTCATCAATATTTACGGCAGGGAGCAATGCATCTTGGTGGCCGGTGACGTTCAGACGAGTTTGTTTCACTTCAGCCGCCTCGTATTTGTGGGGGACACTGCGCATCGACCCTCCCCAACAGTCCCACCACCTTCACTTTCCCCCGCCACCCGCTGCCATCTGCTGACGATACAGTTGCTTGGCTCCGCCAATAATGCGCTCGTGAAACGTCCTCTCCGCACTCTGCAGGATTATTGCCGTGGAGGAGTTGATGGCATATGGTGCGGGTGTGGCGTCGACAGAGTCATCCACGCCTTGTCTTAGAAACATGACTTTGAGTCGTGTCAGTCACGCCGTGTGCACCTTTTTTCTTGCTGGGAGTCTTGTGGGTGTGTTTGAGCCCTTTTAGGAGCCTGTGTAGAGAATGGTCGCGGGAGAGCTGGCTGACTTAATGAATGTATATATATATATACACCCTGATAGAACGAATATACACTTCTTTACGACACTTTTCTACCGTATGAGTTTTGGGAAGGCCACGACTTTAGGGAGCCGACAGCGGCCGGATAATTTTTATTTTTATTTTTACCATCGCACCCACCCCCTTTTGATTCCCACCACGCGGCGGTGTCTTGTGGCTGCAGGACCCCAAAAGTCTGCCACCTCGTAAGTAATAAATAAATATATGTATCCTATCCGAATAGAGTGGGCGGGCCACGATTGTGGCTAACGGATGGTATGTATATAAACATGCATTTATTTGCCTCGTGTTGAACTTTGAGGATGTGATGATCCCACTCTTATTCCGTCGATCCCTCACTTATTTCTATCGTGTTTGGTTTCTATTATTGAGAAACTCAGGATTTGGCCAGCGGCTCAGAAGATTATTTTTTATTGCAACACTTTACCAAAGGGAAGCAGGAACAACACAAACCGAATTGTTGGCTGCACCAACACAAGAAACATTCACAAGAGGAAAATAAATAATAATTGTGCACCCTGCAGAAATCCCCAACACACGACCCAGGCATGAGGGTTTGCCCTCCGCAAAAACAAAACAACGCATGCAGACATCTGCCAACATCCAAACAGAAACACAAATAAATGGTTGCTTGCTTTATGCCATTCCCTGCGCTTATTTTTGCGTGTGCGTCAGCAGCTGCGGTGGTTGCTGGGCCTGCATGAAGTGGTGTGCGCTGAATATGAACGAAGGCCGAAGGCAACTGAACTGTTTTTGTGATGAATATTGGCTGCACTTCCCGTGGACCAACAATCCGCGTGGTGTGCGGGGATCTCTCCTTTTTTATTGTTACTTTGCTTTTTTGTTGCTGTGGGCGCTGCACCTCCTCTTGTGTGTGTGCGTACCCTCCGTGAGGGGTGCCGACACGACGGACCGCTCTCGCCGTATGTGCATGCGGTGGAGCCTTGTGTGCCGCTCCTGTTTGCTTCTCCCTCTTCCATCTGTGTGTTGTTGTTGCGGCAGGGCTGTGTGTGCGTGTGCCTGCTGCCGTGGATTGGAGTGTGTGTCGTGCGTGGTGTGCGGCGTACGGTGCATGCCTGGCTGCTGCCCTCTCCTCATGTTGTCTGCTCTCTCTCGCTGTATCCGCTGTGCCCCGTCCCTCTCCCTCTTGTTCCATTCTTTTTCTTCTGTATCACCGATCAGCTGATTGGCTCCAGCGACTCCACTACGAGTGACGATGAATGCGATGACGACGGTGGTGACGGTGCGGCGCCGTGTGGTGTGCGCCGTGTTGGTCATTGCGCTCTTGTGCTGCTGCTCGTTCGTGTGCGTGACAGCGACAGGAGAGGATAATGATGATAACAGCAGTCCTCCCAGCCCTAAGGCAAGGACACCAGATCATACAAAAAATGCCCTTGGTGCATTACAGCCAGATGCTGAGGAAGCCGGTGGGTCACAGAGAGACAGTGGGAGAAACAGAGAGGAAGGTTTAAGAAGACAAGGGCCTTCTTTGCCAGCGGAAGCAGGCACGGCCATCACTGGACAGACACGAGTTTCGCCAGAGAAAATGAGTTCGGCTAACGATAATCCAGAGCCACGAGGTTTGGCAACTCAGTCTCCACATACACAAGATGCGACTGGTGTGTCAGATGCACAAAATAAAAAAGCGCAAGAAAATACACAAGGTGATGAGAACCATAAGGCACAGGTATCAAATCAGAAGATCAAAATTTCAAATGTAACTACAACGACTACAGAGGCGCCAACCACGACGACCACTACAACAACGACGACGACCGCTGCACCAGAGGCACCAAGTACTACGACGACAGAGACGCCAACCACGACGACCACCCGCACACCGTCACGTCTTCGCGAAATCGACGGCAGCCTCAGCAGCTCTGCGTGGGTGTGTGCCCCGCTGCTGCTCGCCGTATCCGCGCTGGCGTACACCACTCTGGGCTGAAGAGGTGTATGCGGGCTTTGCGTGCCAGCACTCAACCACGGGGATTTGTGCGCGTCTACTGTGGTCCGATGTAAATAAATAAGAGATAATAATGATTGTGTTTTGCTTCATTTGCTTCCGCTGCCCTGCTGTGTGCTCCGTGTTGCTGCTCCCTGTATCCGTCACGTGGAAAGAATCCCGGACACACCCTTATGCACTACACGCAAACAACTGTTTGTGTGGACGCACTCTTGTGTGATGGTGCATGCACACTGGAGCCATTCTGTGCAGTTTTTTTTTTTGCTTTATTGGTGTTTCTTCACTCCTGTTTTTTTTAATGTTTTATTATTATTACTTGCTGCGGGTCTGTGTCTGTTTCCCCCTTCTACTGATTACAACTGCCTCATGGTGCGTGCAAGCTGCTTCTTTATACTGTGCGGAGGCTGTGCGAATTGTCTCTCTTTTTTGCTTTCACTCTGCGTTGACGGTTTGTTAGTTTGTGCTGAAGGCTACACGCAAGTGACAGGAGTGATGGCGATGATGATGACTGGCCGTGTGCTGCTGGTGTGTGCCCTCTGCGTGCTGTGGTGCGGTTTGTCTGGAATTGCGGCCGATGGTTCTGGCGTTGTTTCTGGAGCTTCCAGCGGAGGTGTAGTTGAAGCTGGTGGTGTTCCTTCTGTCGCCGTTGAGAGCATTGCTTTTGATGCAGGTGGAAAGGATGCTACTTCTAATGAACATGGAACTCTATCATCGGAGCCTGTTGTTCAAGTTGACAATTCTTCATCGTCTAATATTGGTCAGGATGCGAGTAATGTTTTAGACCCCCCTGTAAAAGATTTAAAATTAACAGAAGAGGACCCGAAAGTAAATGCAGATCAGCTACAATCAGTGCTTCCAGCTGATTTGCCTCCCAAAGCGGAAGTGGAAGGGTCACACCATTTTAATGCGCCAGACCCGTTGCCCAGGGCACAAGGCTCAAAAGAAGTTCTTAATAATGATGATGGTGACGTTGAAACTCTCGAGAAAGATGGAAGAAAAGTTGACGTGAAGAATGACGCCATCGCCGGCTTCTCTTCTAACAGCAACGGCGATCCAACAGAAGCACCACGAGGGCCTGGGGCGAAGGAAATCACGGTGGAACAAACAGCACCAACTGCAGCAACACCGCCAGCGAAGGGCCAAGTAACATCACAAGCGACGGAGCAAAAAGAGGCATCACCAAGGAAAGAAGCTACGTCCAGCGTAGTTGTCACACAGAAATCATCAACTGTGATTCAGCAACCAACAAAATCCTCTTCTCCTCCTACAAACGGAATAACTCCGACACCAGGAAACAAACTTGCTGGTGGGGACACTTTTCAAAATGACCAGCAATCCGATGAGCAAGTACCAGAAGAAGCGGCGCAAAATGGAACTATTGCTGGCGAAGAATTGAAGACAAAACCAGAAACCACCACCGAAAAGGGTCCTAACAGTACCGATGATAACAAACAAGTTGACAATGCAGCCATCGGCAATTCAAATGGAGGTCAGGAAGAAAAGAACGGAGTCACGCTGCAAGTTCAAGACGAAGTCGTGAAACCCAAAGAAGAAAAAGAAGTGAAAAAAGAATTGGAAGAGAAAGAAAAGCAAAAGGCTCAAGGGAATAAACAGGACGAACCTGAAGATCTCGGGGAAGATGCTGAAGACACTGAAGATTCAGCTGATGGCACAGATCACAAAGAGGGTGAAGGACAGAAGGAAGGAGATGCAGGAAGCAATAAAAAAGGAAAAGAATTGAATGGGGGTGGTGATACCGACGGTACACCCCCTGACGCACCTGTAGTTCTTCAGCCTGCTCCCCCTGTTGAAGTTACGGACCCTCAAAGTATTGAGAAAACGAACGATGACGACACTGGGGGAAAAGAAGACGCCGGCAGAACGCAAACGCAAGAAGCAGCAGGACCATCACAGGCAGAGAATTTAACAGCAGAATTAAGTACCGAAGAAGTTGCAGCCGAAACAGAAACAGGAACCCCGGGAAAAAAGACGCAACCAGAAGATGCAGGAAAAGAACAGACAACCGTTGGAGCAAAATCAAATCCAGAAACACCTGCCGCGGAAACGGAGGCACACAACAGAGAAGAGGTACCAAAAGAAGAGGAAGATTCAGAAAAAGCAACAACAAATGAAAATTTTGACGGAAGGCAAACCGCCGTAAATGACAATGCCCACAATGAGGCAGAGAACACAAGGCAAGAAAATGAAAATGAATTGGATAAGGCAGAAGAAACAACAGCAGAAGTCAAAGAAAAGGAAGAGACAACCGAAAGAAAAACCGTTGCAGCCAAAGACCCTAACCTGAACAGCACGGCAGCAACAGACGACAGTGACGGCAGCACCGCGGTCTCCCACACCACCTCCCCTCTTTTGCTTCTTCTTCTTGTTGTTGCGTGTGCGGCTGCTGCTGCGGTGGTGGCCGCGTGAGAGCGAGGGAGAGAGAGCCGTGCACCGCCCACACACACACACTCGTCCTTCTCTCTCTGTGTGTGTGTCCCCTTGCATGGACTCTCGCCCTCACCTCACCCCACGAGGCACACACATAATGTGCCCATTGTATATATTGCATGCACACCCATGCAGGCCCGTTGGTGCTCTCTTTTGCACCACACGCACCGCTGCCGTCCTGCCCGGCTGCATGGGCGGAGCACCGTAACTGTTTTTGTTTTGTTTTTATTGCATTGAGTGGGCGACCTCTCTCTCTCTCTCCCTGTGTGTGTGTGTTTTGCTTTACGGGAGCAATGAGAGTGTGCGCTGGTCGTCCCACGCTTCGGCTTTTTGTTTTATTTTATTGTTTTACTTGTGTTGTAGCTGAGTGCACCTTTTCCACGCTTTTTCATCGGTGGCTTGTTTTGACTGCGGACTCTTAAAACTTTCCTTGTGTATTCCTATATTGTTTCTTTGTTGTTGAGAGACCGTCATTCTCATGTATCCATGTGACGCCACCAAGATGTTTTCTTTGAAATACGCCATGCGTCATTTGATCCATGTTATTCTGCTGCCTGCATCGCTGCTGGTGCTGCTATTGATGATGCCTGCGATGTGATTTGTCGGCGGGTGTCTTGCTGTCAGCCTGACGTATCCTTCGTTCCTTGACGATTTGTTGCGTACCGACGGTGCGTGGGCGTCTCTGGTGATGGTGAGGGACGCGTGTCTCAGAGTGCAGGATGCGTCGCGAATGTACGGCGTCGTTTGTAAGAACCGATGGGTGCCCATCCGCATCCAGGCATCATCAAAGCACTGTGAGGACAGCATAAGGCACTGCGGCTTCTCCTTGTGTTGCGCAAAGAATTCATTGGACGGTGCGTTTGTTTTCAATCTTTTGGAGCTTTTGTGGGAGAAGGTGGGAGGCTGAGGGCATGAGGACTGAATTCATTTGAGTGGCTGCGTTCCGTCGAGTTGCGGCCAGTCGTGGCACTCTTTTGGGGTTTGTCCGCTCGTCTCTTTTGTTTACTTCCCACCGCAGCACGTGGATAACACTGATCCGAGGAACATTTGTTTGACCGTGTGTGAGCTGCTGCCGTGCGTGGTGCATGGACTATGTGATTGTGTGGGGAGGTGCATGAAGTGACGAATACTTCTGTTTGGCGTGTCGCGGTGTGTCGGAATGATGTTCGGATGACACGTGGAGGGTGTTGTTTGTGATTTGTGTGTCTTCTCTGGTGGAGCCGACATGTGTGCGGGATTGTGGCGTTGCTGGCTGACAGCTCCACTTCACTTTTCAGCATTCCTGGATGTGCTGAGGGATGACGGCTGGCGACCAGCGTGTTGGTGCTGCTGCTGGGAATAAGTGCATCGGGAATGGGTCGTTTTCTCTTTCCGTGCTGGTGCCGATGAACTGGCACGAGGGCACCGGCTGCAGGCTGCCTGCCAGCACGTGTGAGCAGCGGATCCATGCACGCACCGACGCTCATCGCAAGAGCGTGTGTGATCACAGTGGCCTTTTGTGGCGTGCTTTTGTGGGCGTCAGCCCATCGAAGAATGTGTGAAGCAAATGGCTGACTGCACACGAGGAAAATAAGTGCGTGCACTGTGCCGTGTTTCAGCGTCGATGGCAGAGCGACAGGAAGCCCGTGCTGGCAACTGAGATCTTTGCGTCGCGAGGGATGTCGGTGTTGATTTTGGATCGTCAAGGGTGAAGTGATTTAGCTGCTGCCCGTGTGTGTGGCCACTCCGGCAGAGGGCGGACACAAAAGGGAGGGATGCAGGCGCTGCGTGTGTGTGTGCGTGTGCCATGCAACAACGTCACAACAAACATGCTGCGACTCGGTGACCCTCACATCGTTGTGGTTCTCACGAACAGCCCAGGCACGGCCCATACCGATGCACTTAGTGGACGGAGTGAGGCATCTTTTGAGGCGCTGCAGGGAACAGGATGTGTTGACGCAGCCACGACGTGCATGGAGTGTCACGATAGCACAGTCAGCTGCGGCTGGTGGAATATTCACTTCTCGGAGGCAACAGAGAGAGAGAGAGAGAGAGCTGCTCCTGCTGCTGGCGTCGTTGCTGCCTTTTGTGGCCTCCCATGCCGATTATTGTCTGTCCGCTGATCATGGGTGGCATGCCTCCACTAGTGACGTCGTCTGCAGGCATTTCAGAGCACCAGTGAAACACACATCACGTCACATGCTTTGGCTGTGGATGTGGTGTCGTGAGTGCAGCCGGCATTATTTTGCCCGACTCCTTTTCACTGCTTTGCGACGAATAGATGCGTCCCCGCCCGAGTCATTCACTGCAGCTCCGTGTGTTGTACTGCCAGCACAAGACTCTCTTGTTGTATGACGCCTGGCTGACAGTCAAACACCACTGCGTTGGGACATGCAGGGATGTGGACTGCCGCTCACGGTGTTGGGCACCGCTGTTTGGATGCGGCGGCCACACGAGCGGATGTATTGTGGCACAATCAAATGCGTGAAGTACGCGGAATCACAGCGGCTGCAATAATATTGACGGTGTGGCACCACGGAGTATGTGAGGGGGTGATGCATGATGAATCACAGTGGGCGGCATGCGAGGGAAGTGCACCGCGACGGAGCGTCATCCCGCCCTCAGCCTGCTGGGGAATGTACACCCACAAAATATATGGACGAGACACCACCAAACACACATGCCCTTCCATGCACCAATAAATAGGAGCGAAGGTGCGTTCTGGTGTGTGGGAGTCCACTCACATATTCTCATTTCCACCGCAATAAACGGTGAGGAATCAGGTGCCACAGCAACGAAAGGAAAAACAAACATCTATTGCAACACTTTACCAGCGAAGGCAGGAACAACACAAACCGAATTATTGGCCGCACCAACACAATAAACATTCACAAGAGGAAAAGAAATAATTGTGCACCCTGCAGAAATCACAACACACGACCCAGGCATGAAGGTTTGCCCTCTGAGAAAACAAAAACAACGCATGCAGACATCTGCCAACATCCAAACAGAAACACAAATAAATGATTGCTTGCTTTATTCCATTCCTTGCGCTTATTTTTGGTTATGCGGCTGCTGCTGCAGTGGTTCCCAGGCCTGCATGTAGTTGTGTGCGCTGAATATGAAGGACGGCCAAAAGGCAACTGAATTGTTCTTGTGATGAATATTGACTGTAATTCCCGTGGACCAACAATCCACGTGGTGTGCGGGGATTTCCTTTTTAATTGTTACTTTGCTTTTGTGTTGCTGTGTGGGCTGCAACTCCTCTTTTGTTTGTGCGTACCCTCCGTGAGGGGTGCCGACACGACGGACCTCTCTCGCCGTATGTGCATGCGGTGAAGCCTTGTGTGCCGCTCCTGTTTGCTTCTCCCTCTTCCATCTGTGTGTTGGTGTTGCGGCAGGGCTGTGTGTGTGTGTGTGCCTGTTGCCGTGGATTGGAGTGTGTGTCGTGCGTGGTGTGCGGCGTACGGTGCATGCCTGGCTGCTGCCCTCTCCTCATGTGGTGTGCCCTCTGTGTGTGTCTGCCGCACCTCTCGTCTCCCCTGTTGCTCTCCATGTCCCTCACTGTGCAGATCAGCTCCACACCACTGAACGACCACACTCACGATGACGACGTGCCGTCTGCTGTGCGCCCTGTTGGTGCTCGCCCTGTGCTGCTGCCCGTCCGTGGCCGTAACAGAGAGTAGTCAGGTTCCAGTTAAGGACA